CGAGACATCGAAGGAAAAGTGATAAAACACAAAGCAAGACTAGTTGCAAAGGGGTTCCTTCAGACTTCGGGGATTGACTATCATGAAACATTTAGCCCTATAATTAAAGGCTCTACCTTAAGAATCATTCTCACACTTTCAGTTTCAAAAGGATGGAGCATCAGCTAGGTAGATATCAACAATGCCTTTTTGAATGGCAAGCTGAATGAAGAGGTATACATAAGCCAACCTGAAGGCTTTGTGAATTAAGCCAGTCCTAATTTTGTGTGCAAACTTGAAAAAGCTCTCTATAGGTTGAAGTAAGCACCTAGGGCATGGTATGACAAGATCAAGCAAACACTTCTAAAATGGAAATTCATAAAATCTAAGGCAGACTGCTCCCTATTCTTTCAGATGAATCAAAGGCAGGTAATTTTTGTTCTAGTATATGCTGATGACATAGTGATAACTAGTAATGATCACAAAATGTTGCAAAACTTCATTGACAATCTGAACAAGCCGTTTGCCCTAAAAGATTTGGGTGAGCTGCATCAATTTCTGGGTGTTGAAGTGAGAAGAGATGAGTCATGAATGTATCTCACCCAAACTAAGTACATAAAGGACCTGTTAAAAAGGTTTAACCTTGAGCATCTTAATCCTTGTGCAACACCAATTTCCATTGGCAGATGCAAATCTAAAGATGAAGGAGAGAAAATTACTGATTTGTCTCTATACAGAAGTGCAATAGGAGGCTTACAATACCTGGCACATACAAAGCCTAACATAGCTTTCTCTTTGAACAAACTCGGCCAATTTCTGCAAATCCTTCAGACATACATTTGAGAGCTGTTAAAATAGTCTTCAGATACTTAAGAGGAACAATTGAACAAGTTTTATCGATCCAAAGAAGTGAAAGAAAAAGTATTACAGGTTTTGCTGATGCTGATTGGGCTTCATGCCCTGATGATAGAAGATCAACGGCTGGTTATTGCATTTACTTAGGAGATACCTTGGTTGCTTGGTCCTCCAAGAAGTAACAAGTTGTGGTAAGGTCTAGCACTGAATCAGAATACAGAGCCTTAGCTCAAGCTACTGTAGAAATAAGTTGGATTGAGTCTCTACTCGAGGAGATTAGTTTGTGTCCTACTTCATTACCTACCTTGTGGTGTGACAACCTTAGTGCTAGTGCTTTGGCTTCTAATCCTGTTTATCATGCAAACTAAGCACATTGAGTTGGATATTCATTTTGGTCGTGACAAGGTCCTTGAAGGAAAGCAAATGATACAATATATCCCTTCATCAGATCAGATGGTTGACCTATTAACTAAACCACTTGCTCAAACTAGATTTTTGACTCTCAAAGACAAGCTTGGAGTAAAGAACCAAACTCCAGCTTGACGGGGGTGTTAAAATACTTGTGCAATTGAAGTGAATCAGATATGATGCTGATGAAATGTTGCAGATAATTTCAGATGATTAACGTGCACTCTTGGGACCATTGCAACCACATTATCTTTGTTGTAATTGAAATTATTCCTTTTGATTTTGTAGTCACATGTTTAATTATTTCTTGGCTTGCTTCCCTCTCCAAGAAGTTGTATATATGTTGTACATCATTCATGGAAATATAACACCGGTTTTATCATCTTCATTAGCTCAGATTATATTCAATTTTATCTTCAAATAAGATTGCATCGAGAACCTCTACTTTGGAGATAGTGACTTGTAAAATAAATGGTGGCAGAAACTCATTAGAAGAGAAAAAAATTATAGTTTGTTTGTGTATGACAGTTTTGTTCAAACACTATTGCTTTTGATGTGTCCATGAACATGTGCCTAGTAAATATTATAGTGAATGCATGAATTTAATAAAATTGAGCTTCAAATTCACATACAGAGTATTGGTGAGTCTACTTATTATTAATGATCACAATTTTCGCACGCTCATATTTCAAGTTGAAATTTGTTGTCCGTTTATACTGTTCACCCAATTATAAGTTGACAAATCATGGAAAATTAAAATCAATGAAAACTTTAAATTTTCATAATGTGTCAATTTGCAATTAGGTGGACGACAAATTGGACAATAAAAATGGACAGCAGATCTCAATTCTCATATTTCTTATGTTTCTTAAATCTGCTAATTGGGCAATAGATTGTTAGATTCTTCATGCATGTTAGTGTCAGTCAGGGTATATGCTATGGCGATTCTTTAGTTGTTTTATAGCTCCATTGCATGGTTCTATATGTTTTCTGAACTTGCAAAATAGTTTACGACTTATCTTCAATTAGAAGATGAAATTGGGCCACTTGATGTGGTTAGAGGAATAAGTTAGGCATGACATCAAAAGAAGAAATACAGAATCTTCAAAAAATTCTTTGCATTTCGATTTGTGGTCCCAATCACTGGCGGACGCAGGGGGGTTTTTGGGATTTTATTTTTTATTTTTATTTTTGATGTAGTTCTGTTTGGTATCGATTGAAACCTAAATTTTAATCTAAATCAAAGTAAACAATTAATTTTAATAACATATTTATGAGATTCACAACTTTTTAACTTCTATCAAAATTTACCAAAAATCGATTTTAATGCTCATCAAACAAGGGTAAGATCACAATAAATTTGAACTTTTTCTCTTCTATCACGACTCTTTCACTCACACGTTTTACCAAAACCTTAACCCTTCCAATTTTTAAATTTGTCCATAATTTCTTTACAAATTATCACATCTACTATAATCTTCACTTTCTAATCAAATTTTCAACTAATTAGAATCTAAATTTGTATTTTCTCATATCAAATTGTGTATGTAGAATGCGTCTGAAATGATTATGTCCAATTGTGTTTATTTGATTGACTATTAATATTTGAATAATGGTTATATGTTTTCCTTTAAATTATTTGATTGTTTTAATTAATTGTTTGTATCAAATACACTAAAAATTCTTTAAACGCAAATATATATTTTTTGTGATGAGCAAAATATTAATAAAAAGACTGTTTGAAATCAAATGGATAAAAATGATGATCAAAATATTAATGAAAGAGTGTTTTTTAAATGTAAATTTGCATTTTCCTGAGTCAGTATGAATCAATCAAAAATTAAGAACAAAATATTTAATCTGTATAAGATTTGATTGTGCCCATAACTTAAAATGTTCGCGTCTGCCCCTGATCCCCAATCATATATTGCAAAAGATGCTCACTTAGTGGCAATTATATCTATAATAAATTGAAATCTTGATTACACAATCTAAGTTTTTTTGTTTTGCCAATTTTACTTTTATTATGCTTAATGATTCGATCATTTTAAAAAGCTCAAACGAGCAATTCCTAGATAGACGTGCACTAACGAGCCACCATTTTACAAGATATGTTAATAGTAGATTTCGCATCAAATAAAGATGAAAAAATTAATCAACATGTACTATGCATTTTAACAAGATTGATATTTAAGATAAAAGTCGATTCTTAAACGGTACAATGTTAACAAGAGAATTAACTACACTTCTAATGATCATTTGATGCTCTATTTATTTACTTCAAAAGAGTAGCCCTCATTATCTAACATTGTCCATGTATGTACACCAATCTATAGTTTGTGTTATTCAAAAATCGATAATTTTTATTGTCATAACTCAGTTGTTGATATGCTTTCCTGGAATATAAAACATCACGACCAACAATGTCATTTAGGGTCCGTTTGATTGTAAGAGTGGAATTTAGGTGGAAAGAAAATAAATTACAGGAATTGAATTGCCTAGAATTATTTTCTTGAGAATTGTCAATTAATTGTGTTTGATTAGTATAATTTTCACCTAGAAAATATTGAAATTTTTAATCTTTTGATATTTGTTTGACGTTGTTTTCCATGCAAATTATCCATTAAGGGGAAATTTTTTTTTTTTTACAATTGTCCATAAAATTTGTTTTCATTGCCAAAAAAAAAAAAAAGCCTGGAAACCATTTTCCCACCAAAGTGGTGGGAAAACCAATTCCAAAAAAACAAGGAAAAAGGGGCCACATAGGGGGTGGGAGGAAAATATTTTCCATGNCACCAAATTGGTAGGAATTAAACATGGAATTGGATGCGTGTTAGCCAAAACTAAGAAAATGAATTGCCAAAAAAAAAGAGTATCAAACATGACTAAAGTGGATGTGGGAATTTCTTTTTCATTTTCCATGGAAAATTTGGGTGGATCAAACAGGGCCTTAAAGTAAAGAGCACAGTTCAGAGATTGGCTTCATTCTCTTCATGAGATACATTCTTTTTTAGGAGTCCAACCCGTTCTTTATAATTAAAATTTAAAATATAAAGTGAGTATGACTCCACATTTTGCCTTTATTCAAAATTTTAGTAGATTTTTAATAATTGTTGATGAAATTTGTGGTTGAAAAGTAGATAAAACGTTATGGATCCCATAAAATATAATATATTGTTGAAAATCAATTTCTTTAAAAAATGACTTTTAAGAAATGGAGGCCAAACAAGGATTTAGAGAACCAAACTCACTTTCTATATTATATGTTTGCTTTTATACAGTATTTTGCACTTCATTGGTTTATAAGGGAATGGAGAGTGATAAAATAAAATAAAATAGATAGAAAGTAAGGTAAAAGAAAAGATAAAAAATGTTACGTCGGTCATAAAAAATAGCAAAATAGAGAATAAATATAAAGAGTATTTTTAGAGTTGTATAAAAAGTTCCATTTTTTATATTTGAATTTTTTATTTGAAAAAAAAAATGCTATTTAAAATAAAGAATTGTCGGAGATGCTCAAAATAGATGAAAATCATCCACCAAACGGAACTTGAAACATTACAAGTCTTGTAAAAAAAATAGATTAATATCAGTTTGTCGTGCAATCAAAAGATTGGGGACCTCTGTCGCTACTTATCCTCATCAAATGAACCAAATGCAGTTTCACACTGTTTTTCCCAACTCCCAAGCAATTCTACTCACTGCTCGAATTCAGCAGGTCGTGTTGGTCGAGTTCGGAGTCGGCTTGACCCACCACCATGCTGACTACCGCTGCCCTATATGTCTCAGCCGGACCTCCATCTATCGTCGGATTCCAAGCCAAGAAATACACGAACCACAGGCATTTTACAGTCTTGGCTAGTGAATTTCCATCATTTCTTCCTAAAGAAGTTGAGAACATTAAGGACTCGTTTGCCAGAACACTGGCCTCAAGGATTGAGAGGCTGCCTGTGCATGTAAGCTCACATTATCTTGTGAAATTTCTGTTTTCTCGAGATGTTATTGGACTTCAATACATGTTTAATTAGTGAGTTTTTCTATTTTGATTTAGGATTGTTTAATGGCTTCCTGTCAGGTCTCATATCTTTCAAAATATTATGATTTTTATCATTGGATTCTAATGCATGTTTAATTTAATGGGTCTTTTTTCCATTTTTTTCGCATTTATGGTTTAAAATTGTTTAGTTGCTACACAAAAGGTCTCATTAGCTTGGGAAAATTTATAATGTGTGTGGTAATATATATATCCTAACATTTTGTAGTTTTTCTTCTATGATTAAAAAAGTTATGTTTCTTATGAAAAAATATTGCAATTTAAAGCTCCAACCTTTTTGTTCTTTTTGTTTGTATGTGTCTTTGGATGTACCAACAAGTGGATTTGATACCAATCAAGTATAAATTGAGGGAATGATGAGTTAGATTGTCGGATATGACTTGTTTAGACCTAAAGAAGCTATCAACAACAAGGATTGGGTGGTGAAGGATTTGATTGTCATTAATCTTCAGGTAGGTGTAATGATGTGATAAAAGGAGTGGCCGAAAAAGGATTCATATAGCCGACTTCAATTTCTTTGAGAATATTGCTTAATTTTTACGTTTTCAAATTGAATTCATTATTTTAGGGGAATGGGAACTGAACCAGGTTTGCCTTAGCTGTGCAGCACTTGCTTAGTCTCCTTTGGTGTTCGTGTATTTATTCCATCTCAGAAAAATGTCACTATTAAACACAATGCTTAGTATTTATTTGACTCGGGCAAGCTTTTACAAGCGCTTCCTATACACTTATAAAGATATTCAACCAATTTAACTTAAAAAGCTTCATTGACATTGCATAATGTTATTGCTTATAATCATACTTCCATGCTTATGTTCCATGATATCGTTGTCTTCTTTGTAGGTAAGTTTTTCAAAAAATTGTATCATGAGTAGTTGTGTAAAGCCAAAGACAAGCGTCCAGACTGATCCAGTGGTTCTTCTCCACGGCTTCGACAGGTTTGCATCCTAGGAAATTAACACAACAATATGAAAACATTGCTCATTATGTGTTTCCAGAGTCATCTCTTCTTATTCTTCAGCTCCTGTTTAGAATGGAGATATATGTTCCCATTGCTTGAGGAGGCTGGGTTGGAGACCTGGGCCGTAGATATTCTAGGGTGGGGCTTCTCCGATTTAGGCATGTTGTCTCCATTCGTTTTTTTCCCTCTTTCCTCTTATATTTCTTAAAGTTCAATTGAGAATTCGAGTTTCATCATAAATTTTCTATGCAATAATTTGCCCCTTTTTTTTGTTTTCTCCTCGAATTTATTAGAGAAGGTTCCGTCATTCGATGTAGCTTCAAAACGTGAGCACCTTTATCAGGTATCCACTTGCTCTATCAGTGACATCTATATTACGTTTACTATAAAAAATGAAAGAAAATATCTAGATTAAGTAACTTCTTTCCTTCGGTGCTGAAATGGAAGTCGCGTTATTGGTCTTTGCTATCTGCTCATTTTGGCAAAAGCTAATTACTCTAACGCCTCATATAAGAAATTATGATGTGCCGCCTGGTTCTTGGTTGAGAATTACTGCATCTAGTCTTAGCTTTTTTCATTATCTGAAAGGCTGAGTTAAGTTTTGTTGCGTGTTTTCAATAGTTTTGGAAATCCTACATCAAGAGGCCAATGACATTAGTTGGCCCAAGTCTTGGAGCTTCTGTTGCAATTGATTTTGTAGTGAACTATCCAGAAGCTGTAAGTCATGGGGACGTGAAACAACTTGTACTTTGACTGTTTTCTTTGATACTGCCACCATTATCTTACGGCTTAGTTCGAGGAGATTCTGTGTGTCCTTAGGTCGATAAGCTGGTTTTCATTGATGCAAGCGTCTATGCAGAAGGTACAGGGAACCTTGCAAAGCTACCCAAAGCAGTAGCATATGTCGGGGTGAGTGTTTCAAGAATACTTGCACTGATGGGCTTGTTGTATTTGTTTTTGATATTAATTCATGCATTCAATTACATTATATCTTTAAACCACCCTTAGAATTACAGATGCTCACGTCTTATGAAGTTAATTAATTTGTCTTCAGTTAGTTGACAAATTAGTCATCCTTTTTGTAATATGCGACTTGCAACTAGTGTGGTAATGTTGTGAAAAACCTCAAGCTTTCTGTCAAATGATATTATGCATGTAGTGCTTATTGGCTCGAGAGTTCAGAGGCAAACTTCCAAAATGATAGCATTAGAAAAAATGCTTGATTATAAAACTTATATTTTATTGTAATAAGAGCTATTTCTTTCTAGAATTTATAATTCATTTTAACCTTAGGTTAATACACTATCATACACTTAAATAAGTTCTTAAACCGTATACGTTTCTTGAACAGGTGTATGTGTTAAAGAGTATCATGTTGCGCCTATATGCAACTTCATTGGCTTTTTATAGTATACCATTTAGTACCTGCCTTGACTGGACGAATGTGAGTGTCGCTTATTATGTCTTGCAGTTGTATTTATGTGGTTCCTGTTTCATATTATACTCTGATGTTCTTAGGTGAGACTGAATTTGATTTTTCATGTTACTATCCTAGATTGGCCGCCTACATTGTCTATTACCTCGGTGGGAGGATGCAACTGTTGATTTTATGATTAGTGGAGGCTACAACGTCAGTGCTGATATAGAACAAGTACGAGAAAACTAGTATTGCTATATATAAACTTTTCCTTGTTCACGAAAATTGTCTTGTGCTCAATAGCTGCGCACAATCTCTATACTACAAAGTGCCATGTTATGCAGGTAAAGCAAAAGACGCTTATAATTTGGGGTCAAAATGATCAAATTATCGATAGCAAGCTAGGTGTGGTAAGTGTCTTTTGTCTTTGCTATACTTGAGATATTAAAGAAGCATGACTTTATATTTGTATGACACAGAGACTGCATTGTGAACTACCGAATGCAATTATACGTCAAATACCCGATTGTGGTCACATCCCCCATGTCGAGAAGCCAGCAACAGTTTCGAAGTTGGTCATGGAGTTCATTCAAGCTGAAAGCCGGGTGGCTGTAAAGAGTTCCATCCTCTCTTAACGTTCTCGGCTCTTTTCGGATAATATTCGGGTTAGGGAATTCTACATATAGTGTTGTTTCCCTCAACTCTGGTACAAATCTTTGTACTTGGATACTTATTGTACCAAATGTATCTTTCATTGATGAGAGATGCAATTCCCTGTCATAGCCCCTGTTTGAGTAGCACTAGTGTTCATTGATAGCAAATAATTGGTTCTTCCGTAGAGCTTATTGTTTGGTTCTCATTTCCTAAAATTCATTTTTCATGAACTTAATTTCAACTTTACATTTTTCCAATAAAATAATTGTGCACGTAAATCCAAAACTTTTTCATATTTTTTAACTGCACATTCTCTAAAAAAAATCACTTTTCGTAAAATCTATTCACAAAATATTTCTAACAAACAAGAGCTAAATTGCCTTGAATGTCTCTCCTACAATATGTACCAAGGCACAAACGTGTGCACGTTTTTTATAAATAAGTGACGAAGAAGAACATAACTGTTAAAGAGGGCACACCTTTACTTATTGAATTATTCTACTTGTACAGGTTTATTTTCAAGCCAATGCCAGAGAGACGAGTGTCTTTGCTCTATACATGTAGCATAACTCTTATTTATATTACTCTTTAAAAAAGCACTTGTACATGACAAAATCATAGTTATAAAACCCGGCCCGGCCGGTCGACCAGGAAAATTGGTGACCCGGGCCCTTGTCTGAGCCTGGTAGATTAATTTAAGGGAAATTTCATTTCCAAGAGATTAAATACACATATTTCAAAACTAAGAAAACAACTTTCAAATTTTAAAAATCAGATTTTTTAAAATTTTTATTTATGAAATAATAAATTATTAAATCAATTTATTATTAAATCTTTAATTCTAATATAATATAATTAACACACCCCACCTTCACCACCCCCACCGCTTTGGCGATCGTTCTGGTCACCACTCTACTCAAGCAAACTTTTTGACGACTGTTTCGACAACTTTTCCGGTGGCAACTGTCCGGCGAACTTTCCCAGAGATTTTTTCGATTCCGACAATTATTTATTTTATCAGTTAAATATTTAATTATTTTATTAATTAAATATAATGAGATTACAATTATACAATTAATGGTCACATATACATAATTAATTGGTCACATATTATTATTGATGTCACAAATCAAAAAACTTATAGGTCACGATTTTTTTATTGGTCATAGATCAAAAATCTCGTAGGTCACAGATTATTTTGAGATCATAAATCAGGTTACATATTATTTTATTGGTCACGGATCAAAAAATTATGGGTCAGAGTTATCTATCAGTCACATATTTTCAAATTTATTTGTGACAGATTAATTTTTAGTCACAATTTTAAGGTCAGAGTTAGATTTTTTTGTGACCACCACCGGTTTCTGTGACTACCACTGACTTCTATGACTACCCCCGTGACCACCACCGTCGTTGTCGCTAGAACCAATAGCACCACCCCCGTGACCACCACCTACTTCTGTGACCACCTTCGTGACCATCACCTTACCACTGCTACAGGTCGCATTGCCGTCGCTGCCACCACCACTAACACCGACACAGTCACCACCAAAAATTCGGCAGCACACCACCACCACCTTGCGATCTGAAAACTACAAACAGAAGGAAACAAAGAAGGAAACAAAAACCAAATATCTGGCACCACACCACCACCACAAAATAGCCCCTGCCACGCCAAACCCCACACCACCACATCACCACGCCACAATTCACAACCCATAGCACACCACCATCATATCCTCTATCTCCGTTTACACCACCGACTACACAGCCACCACATAGCTTTCGGATCCTGTTGACTCAGAGATCAACAATCTCTTTGCTAATGGTGTAAAGCACTCTAGCAAAGTTTTTGGCAGCGTCGTCCTTGCCAGTGAGCAGCTATTCCTGGTGAAATAGCTGGCAGTATGTCCCGGTACGGACCTCGTCTATCACAGTAGTCTATAGATCCACAAACACAGCGCGGGGAACGTGCTTTCCGACACCGATTTCACTGAAGAATGTGTTGATCTCCACCGTGACTGTTTTGTCCCCGGGATTTCTCTTGCTTTTTTTGCGTGAAATTAAAATTAGAAAGATGTGCAGAGAAGTGTAGATCTGCCTCTGATTCGATCGGGAGAAGACGCCGCTACTTGGCTGTAGAGGTAAGTCACCGGCGACTGTGCATCACCGGTGGAGGTCGCTGAACAGAGATGAGAGATGGAAGAGGACGTCTGTGGGAGAAAGGTAGAGAGAGATAGAGGATAGTGGGAATTAATTAGGGTTTAGGATTGTTTAGTAAATATATTTATTTTATAAAAATATAAATTTTTTTTAAAAAAATTTTATTTTAGAAATACAAAACTTATAATCTGATTTTAGAATATTGGATATTTAAACTAGTGTTTTGTGTAATTTCCACTTAATTTAATAGGAATGCACATGACTCGGTCAAAAATCGACTCTGATCGAGTTAATCGGCGGTTTTGACCGAGTTAACCCGGCCGGTTTATCGGTTTTCAAATTTTTTTTTTTAACTTTTGGGGGTTCAAAGGATTGAACCTTGGACCTCTAAGTAAAACAATTATTTCCTCACCATTGGAGTTGTAGAGCACTTTAGTGTTGTTTATATGTAATAAATTATATGTATCCAATGAATCATATATATTAAAATAATAATTTTTCTAAAAGTATTTTTATAAAGACTTTGGTTAAACATTTTACTTTATTTTATAGACCTAAAAAATTAGTGAAAAATAATTTAAAAATAATAATTTTGCCTAAAAAAATTTTCATACTTTAATTTTTTTTTTATATAGATTTTTATGCAATAATCCACCGGTCCGACCATTGACCCACCGGTTCAACCAGTAATTCGAGACCCAGTACCTTGTTCGAGTCAATGTCCAGGTCGGGTCTAATAACTATGAGCAATATACCATGTGGCATGTACATATAGCATAACGCTTATTTAAATTACTCTTAAACAAAATTAATACTTAACATAAGATTCGAGTTAAATGGAAAAGTAATCAACATAGGGTAGCAACATCTCATTAATAATAAAAAAAGCTACTGCCTCCATATATACAAATACAAAGACAATAAATATCTTAACAGAAACCAAGTTGAAGTTCGACTGCCCCGGAAAGCAGCCCACAAAGAAGGGAATTGTGTTCTCTTCATTTTCATATAGCTGGAAGGGAACAAAAGCGGCCCTAGTAGGAAGAATTTTCGACATAAAATTCTTTATTGCCAACTGTGGAATTAAAGTCATGGCACCCTGTAATTGATGCGGACTTCATTTTCTATTATGGAATTTTTCATTATTTATGTTTTTTTATTATTGGACCTGTATTATTGGGTTGGCCCAAGCCCATCACTAGTAGTGTTATGTTTTACTATTTATATGGTTTTGACATTATAATTTAGACAGTTGATGAATAAATAAAATATTTTGTGGGTTGTTGGTAAAGTTTCCTCTTTTTTCATGTTCTTCTTCCCCTTATTATGTAATTTTCTTCTTTTGCCATTCCTGCTTCTAATTCCCTTTCCTCTATAGATTTCTTCTCATTCTCCATTAATTATTTTTAAATGGTGCTGCATCAAATTTGATATCAGAGCTAAACTTGAGAGTTCTTCACTGCCTCAGAATAGTTTTATTCCCTAGCAATCTACTACTATGCCAACTCCCAAAAAAAAAAAAGTTAATGTTCATGCGTACTGTTCACGAGGTATTGTTCATGCCCGAAAATTCAGTTTTGGATTTTTCTTTCACCAGTTTCGCAAAAAAAAAAAAGGTTGTTGCTGTCCAAAAATTCTTAGTCTACAGAAAAATAACTTTAACCTAAATCTAAACCATTCCATATTTTCCTCTTCCCAAAAACAACCCACATATTACACAAACCTATAAAACCCACAACCCACATACCCAAGTCCACAAATTATACATCCAATGCCCTATTAAGCCCTAGCCCATATATTCCAAAAAAAACCACTCACCTATGCTCTAGCCCACTTATGCACAACTAGCCCTAGCCCGTGACTTGTCCATCAACCCCAACCACTACCCAACTATCCATAAGCCCAAGCCACACATACTTATAACCCAGAGTATACCCAAGTAGCCCGTTAAACCCAGGCCCATATCCATCTATCACAAAACTAAACCTAACCCAACCCAAGGCCAACGAACCTTAACCTAATCTCACTACAAGCACCACCATCCAACCAGTCGTTACTGCTTCCGATCTGTCGTCTGCTAAACTTTCTCGCAGGCCGTCTCCATCACCGTATTCTACTAGCTCTAGGAAACACTGTTATCACTAACTCCGCCTAATCATAAAAACCACACAACCACAACCAATTTTGTCGCTTCCACATTCACCGCTCCCGCGTCTACCAATCCTTTCACCGACACTGCCTTCTGCTATCTCCACCACCGTCTGCAACATCCACCACATGCTATACCACTTGCAGTCAGTACCACCCATTATCGTTAGCATCCTGGTAATCATTTCTTCTCGGTCGCCTTCAACAACCCATACACATAGAAAACCTAACCTTCCATGACCAGGTCGTGACATAATCTGCAGCTTCAGACATTTCTACAGAAGACCAAACAAGAATTTCTTTGGCAGCTAGCTATCAGTTCAACTTATCCACTTGTTGTTAAATATTTAAATCAATTGGACCTCAGATCTATTGTACACAAAGAGCTTAAGCCCCTATTTAACACCCATTTTTTTATCTCATTCTCATTCTCATTTTTCTACAGTTCTCATTTCTAACCACACATTCTTCAAATAAAATAATATTACACATAAACCCAAAAATTCTTTTTACTTTTTAACCATACATTCTTTACATCAATCACTATTCAAAAAACATTCTTCAAAATAATAGGTGTCAAACGGGGGCTAAGTTGAATCTCATGAGGTGCAAACACATAATTTATTGAAAAGGACAAGGAGAGACATTTGACAGGCAATTTAAGCAACAG